TTTAAGGATTGTGAGTGCTACCCATCATACTTTTGTTTTATTCAAATAATAAGTAAAATTAAAAAAAAACCACTAGTTTCTGGGTAAATTTCCAAACAATGCTGGATAAATTTTCTAGCACAAGCTGAATATATCCTTAACCACCAAAATCAAACACAAAAATAAATTGCTTAAATAATAATAACAATAATAATTTTATAATTTTATATCCTATCTTTCTTCCAACATAGGGACTCAAAGTGGCTAACAGCAAATTAAAAAAAAAACAATTTAAAAACAATACAAAAATATGCAGAAACAACAGCAAATCTATTCAAACCTTGTTGGGCTGCAACTGCTTGAAATGTATGCCTTTAAAACAGGAAACCACTTACTATGAATCTCTCCTGGCTTTGCATGACTATAGGCTTAACTAAGGTCTTCAACTGCTAGAATTAATATAAAAGCATGACAAACATCTACAGAAATTGTAACTGTTACTGAACTGGTCACTTTGGACTTGGGGGAAAAAGAAGCCTATTTTGGGCCCCTAAACAGATTTGGCAGGGGAAATAGCTTTAAAATTTTATTACTTGGAAGCTTCTTTGACAGTGATTGTTGCTGTGTTTTCTTTTCCCAGGATGGAGGCTTGGGGACACCCAAAGGTATCCTGGGGGTGTCCCCCAACCTTGAGGGCTGAACTCGGGTCTTTGGTGAGCTCCATATAACTTGTGGATCTTGTAGCTCCCAAAGCTACTCTAGCATTACCAATCCAAATACATTGTGCAGTTACTCCCATCTTTTCCTCCTCAAGACATTCTTTTTTCTTAGTTAAGAAAAAAGATGGATGAAGTGGTGGGAAAACATGGAAGACTGCAGAGTGATGTTGACAGCATCCAGGTATGTGAATGATGCAGGGCAGTTTCATGATTAAAAACCTCATCTGGTGCCTCGTGAGTCTGGTTGTATGCTACAGGTAGACTTTTTAAAAGCAGGGGGCTTCACTAATGGAAATTAGGCAAGATGGAAAAGTTTTAAGCACCCCTTCCCACCCAATAATTTCCCCATACCTTTTTGTTACAAGAGAATCAAATCTCACACTTCCCATGTTTCCCTTATAGTGTGTAGTCCCACCCTAAAATGCTGAGGGTTAACAAAAATCTTATGCCAGAGAATAACTTGCAGAATGGAGGGAAGGAGAGGAAGATATATGAATGATTAAAATATCAAAAATGAAAAAAATCAGTGTTTTTGAAACCTCCAGAGCTGGAAACAATTAGAAGCTGGCTGGTAACTGTCAAGAATCAATAAATGAAGGATGCAATTTCTAATAACTCAAACATAAAATATGCTGATAAGTTAAGAAGGAGCCATAAGGGGAAAGAAAGAGGAGAACAGGGAACTGAAATCTGTTAGCAATTATTGCTAGTGCCAGTGCAGTTTAAAGGAGTCACGTTTAGCCTCCTCCACTATTCCTCCAGTTCTATGAAGGATATGCCTTCAGCTAGTGCAGAAGACAGCAGTACCCACCCCTTCCAATGCATAATCAGATTTTCTTGGCATGCACTCACAGCTCAGACAAATCACAAATGGCTAGAATGAGCCTTACAACTTCTAATTTCCCAAAGCTTGCCAGTTTTTGGAAAGCAGTCTTATGACAGGTTGTGTAAGTTCCAGATATTGGGGCAGCCCTCTCTCTGAATAGTGGTGGAAATCTCACCTGAATGGTGGAGTGACAGCCCACTCTATCCCATTCAGAATACAACCTGCCAGTACTATGTTTGAACTAGGGGTTAGGGAAAATGTAGCTGACCAGGGATGTAGCTACGTGGGAGGAGGGATTGAAGACATTTCCCCCAAATAAGAATTCTGTCCTTCAAAATGAAATTTTCCTTCAGCCTGAAATTTCAAGCATTGCAAAGAGTGAGACACTGAAAACTGTTCACACCTACAATTATTGTAATGTTTACATCCCCTTTCTGAGAGATTGTAGCTTGCCCATGGTCACCCAGTGGGTTTCCATGGTTGAGCTGAGGGATTTGGACATAATTTGACTAGCCATTGTATTTAATGGGACTTGAAGATCCATGGATTTTGGTATCAAATCCCAGTAGAACCAAACCCCAGTGGATACAAAGATCCCACTGTAAAATAAAAATGGACCTTACCAGCCACTTTTCTTTGGATGCCTAAACTCTACTTCTAAATGAAGTTTTCAGAAATTTGGGGAGTGAAGGAAAAATTCATGGGGGAGGCAGAATTCTTGCTTCGGAAGGGGAAATTACTTCATTTTGCCTGACCCCTTGTAGTAACACTGACTAGTCAAACTTCTCTGGTTTCCATTTAAAATAATGGATCCCATTTGAAACAGAGGTCGGAATCTTGCTGCTGCATTACACTGGCATAACTATGGAGTTTATCGCACTGCCCCTTTTTCCGAACCAATTGCGGGCTGAAACCTTTTAAAAATGAATTTTATTGCATGCCTCTTTGTCTAGGCAGGAGGCATCCTGTACCTGATCCAGACTTCTCTTGTACTTTGCAAAGAATTCACCTGAGGCCAAGTTAATTCAACCAAACTTCGTATTTCAAAGTACCTATCTTCAGGGGAAATGTAGATGGCAATGCCACCATTGTTCCCATTAAAGATGAAGTTCCAGCGGTTGCAAATTTGCAAATTTGCAGCCACTTTAACCAGAAATTTGGGGAAGGAGTCATGATTATTATCATTTTGGGTGGAATAGAAATTATACCCCTTATTGTAACATATGGCTCTCCAGGTATTGTTAGATTGCAAGTCCCAGCATCCTCTAGCTGGTGTAGCCAATGCTGAGAAATGCTAGGAGCTATAGTCCAACAATATCCAGACCAAAGAAGCTGTGCTAGTTGAAGGTGCGTGTGCGGATACCACACATACATATACTGGATGGCTCTTGGGGGTCCCTTCCAACTCTAGGATTCTATGTATTCCTGCATGGCCAAAGGAGGTTTGGCTGAATGGCCCTTGGGGGTCTCTTCCAACTCTAGCATTCTACATATTCCTGCATGGCAGAAGAGAGTTGGACTGTATGGCCCTTGGGGTCCCTTGCAACTCTAAGATTCTATGTATAATGCAAGCAGCGCTCTCCAGGACTCATCCCTTTGCCCTCTAGTGCTACAGGGCCAGATATCTGGCTACAGTGTGTGTGTGTGTGTGTGTGTACGCGCATGCATACACACATGCACCTTCAAGAAGCACATGAACATATGGGGAGCCTGTGAATTTCCCAGGGTTTTCTTAGCTAAGGAATCTTCAAAGGTGATTTTGCCATTTCCTTCCTTTGAAAGCTAGCCTACAGCATCTAGTATTATTCCCTGGTGGTCTCTCATCCAAGTACTAACCATGGCTGACTGACCCTGGAAGGCTTCCAAGATCCAGATGTTGTTGGACTGCAGCTCCCAGCATTTTTCAGCATTAGATACACCAGCTAGGGGATGCTGGAACTTGCAGTCCCACAATAGCTGGATTCCATAACTCAGTTCAATGCAGTGTATGTGCTGAAGACAGTAGGGTAGAGAAAGAAAATTAGAGCTTGGAAAAAGTTTTGACTACAGCTCCTACAAACTTCCTTCTAGGCTAGCTATAGGATTTGTAGGAAAACTAAATCTCAGCAACTCATTGGTGAGACAGATTTACTGGTGTGTGAAAATTCACACCCTCTTGTACATCTGCAGTTTTGTTGCCATGATGCCATAAAGCAAATGAACGAGCTTCAAAATAAATTTCCCATCTCTGATTGGAATGGCTGATCATTGGCTAATGTGAGAGACGAGACATTGTAATTATCTCACACTTTTCATGTGGGGAGAAAAGTAATTTTATTGCCCACCATTTTTCAGGTATGAGAAGAATTATTCTGTCATTTCACAACACTAGGCACATTGTCCTATGCTCTGGGAGTTTATCACATGAGGTCAGTAAAGTAGAATTGCATTTGTATAAAAGCACCCTCTGTTTCGCCTTACCTCATGATATCATTGCTGTTCTGTTGCTGTGTGGGAAGCCATTTTAAAAGTGATTCTTTTTATAATTTATATAAAAAACCAAATTATTTCCCAGTGATCAGGAAAAGTGGGAGAGTAAGGCACGCGCTTTAAAGAAGCTACCCAAAGTATCGAAATATTCAGTAACCTCCTGATTTTACAGAGATAGGTTTTTGGACACTGTTTAGAAATGTTTTTAATGTCTTTTTTGGACATTGTTAAACAAATAAATCTAGGATTTTTTAAATTGGAATTGCTTTGCCTTTATGAGAACTGTTCAGCCCCCAACTTTTGATAAGCACATGCGTTGCCAGGGGAGAAATTTGGGGAGGCAAAAATTGCCCCCAGCCCCACCCTTGTGCAGTTGTCCTCTTCTGCCTTATGAGGTGAGCCTTTGCATAGTTGTTGGCTTGACAATTGGTTAGATATACAGTTGTCCCTCCACATTTGTGGGATGTGAATATGAAAAAAATCACAAATAACCCCTCCCTCCATTACAGAGCAGCAGGGAAGGGTTGAAGAGAAGTGCATGTGCTTGCCTCTCTTTCCTCTCCCTGCCACCCTGTAACTAGCTCAGCTAGGCCAGTTACAGAGTGGCAGGGGAGGGTTGGAGATGAGCATGTGAACTGGAGGACTCATGCACACTGCTATAGCTCCTCCTCCAGTGCCTGAGAGTGCTCAAGCAAGCTCCCTGAGGCATCAGAGGAGGAGGGAAAGAAGCATGCATGAGTCCCCTGCATTCCTTCTGAAGTCTCAGAGAGTTTGCCTCAACTGTCTGAGGGATTGGAAGGAAGCCAGGGGACTTGCACACAGGGGACAGCAGCACGCACACCCTTCCTAGCTACTCCCTCCCTCCTGGGCTTCTCCTGCCCCAAGGGGAAAAACCCAGGAGAGAGGAAGAGGTGGGGTGTGTGAGCACACAGCGTGATTCTCATGAATAATCAAATTTGCGAATGTCAAAGCTGCGACGACTATGTTCTCTGTATTGACGCTGGACTGTAGGCAGTAGCCCAGTGGTAGAGTTCATCCCTTCCACAGAGGAGATCCCACGTTCAATTCCTAGCATCTCCAGTTCAAAGGCTTTTAGGTCACAGGGCTGAGCCTCACCTGAGACCCTGGAGAGCTGCTGCCAGATGGAATTAACTGCACTGAATTAGATGGACCAACTGGCTGATCATGCAAGATGGCTGATAGGTTCACTCCCTCTCATTTTGCTTTTTCATCCATCCTGAGCTAGTGGCCAGGCTGGAAATTTAAAAGCTTTAAGTTTATATGTTGCCATAGGTCTGTTTTAGAGTTCTTCATTGCACCATTTTTACATGTGACAAATTCCTTGATAGCTGCAACTAGGCGATAATCTACCAGATCATATGATCAATTACATTTATTTTTTTGCCTCCTGACCTCCACTCTTGTAACTCTGCCCCAATTCCACTGAGACTACTTCTAACATTCCAAACTGCTGAGCAGCCTTCAAGCAGCCATCATTTAAAAACAACCAGCCACAAATTGTTTCCTCATTTTCCTGGATGTGTTGAATTTTTACTCTTCCACTGCCACCACCATCACCTCCATCTCCAAAATTACATTAGCTTGGAAATCGAGGAATAGAATTCTTAGCAGTGAGAAAGTTTAAAATTTAGTATTTGGAGGCTTTACTAAGGTGACAAGGATCTCCTATTGTCCAAAGGAGCTGAAGAATATGCACCATCTGCACTGTTTTCTTGCCTGATATGTTCTTATAATAGCTCTACAATATTATCATGTTAAAATCCAGGGACAGTACCGGTAGATCATACTGCAAGACTACAAATCTCTTAAACCCAAAGCAAGCAAAACTATATGCTAGTGCTAAATACATTTTTGTTTGTTATTAAGGGAGTTAGAGTAGCTTAGAGGTTGAGTGCATACTTCACATGCAGAATATCTAAAAGTCAGTCCACGTAGGATGGGGATTGGGAAAGACTCCTATCAGAAACCTTGCATAGCCAATGAAGTATGTGTAGACCAGGGGTAGGCAACCTTTTTGAGCTGAGTGCTGGGTTGATATTTTGTTACAACAAACTGCAGTTCCCAGAAATCCATAGCACTGAGCCATGGCAGTTAAAGTGGTGTCAACCTGGATTATTTCTGCACTGCAGATATAGCCTTGGAGGTAATATGTTTGTGGACACAAGTTCATATGAACTGGATAAAAATATGTTGAGAACACACAACAAAGGTAACATTTCTAAATCTACCAAATGATTGCATCTAAGAACATCTGGTCATGGAACCAACCAAAGGAAATTTGAACCAAGGTGTCCAGGGTGTAGAGCAGGGGTAGGCAACCTTTTTGAGCCAGGGGCTGTCCCTCAGACAATTGCTGTCCCTCAGACAATTGGGGGGGCCGAAGCACCAAAAACAAATAAATAAATAAATAAATATTAAAAATTTAAAAAATTAAAAAATTAAAAATATATGCATGCACACTCTCTCAGCCCCAGAAAAGCCATGACAAAACCCCTATGGAGATTTTGCCAAGAAAACCCCAAGAACAAGTAATAACGACAATAAACAATATCATCATGGCGGGCGGAGGCGTCGGGGGGCGGAAGCAGCAGGACCGGCATGGGGCCGGTCCAAAGGCTCGAGGCCCGCATCCGGCCCCCGGGCCTTAGGTTGCCTACCCCTGGTGTAGAGTGAGACTGAGTGTTATTGAACTGATTCAAAACAGTAACTATCATGCTTCCCAATCCCATTTGTATGTAAAGACTTTACTGCATGAGAAAAAAACCTGAAACTGATCAGGAGCTTAGCAGCTTTCTCTATTCTGCTCCACATGATATCGTAGCACTTCTGTTTTGTTTCCAAAGGGAGATGGTCATGAAAGTATGCCTTTTGCTGAAAGGAAAAAATCTGCTCAGCAAAAGGCATGCTTTGACAAACATCTCCCCTCAGGAAGAGAATGGAAGTGCTACAAGGGCTTGCAAAGTGGCATGGAGAAAGCTGCAATGCTCCCAATTGGTTTCACCTTTCTTTTTTTGTGAGGTAAAAAGAGGAAAATTGCCAAAGAAATCAAGGCCAACATTGCTGGGGGAGGAGCAGCAGCAGCAGGGGAAAAAGAAGAAGAGGGGAGTAGCAATAGGGTCACCAAAAGTCAAAGACAACTTGATGGCACATAACAAGAAAATTAAAAATAAAGACATTCACTTCCAAGGAATATGGTAGTGGTCAGAGATGAATTTAAAAGGGATTAGACAAATTCATTAAGGATAAGACTGTCAGAGGCTACCAGTCATGATGATGATCTATATTTCCTCCAATGTAAGAGGATGTCTGTCTCTGAATATCAATTGCTGGTAAGCAACATCAGCAGAATGCTATGTTCCTTGCATGCTTTCCTTGTGCATCTAGTTGGTCATTGTGGGAAAATGGATGCTGGATTAGAAAGGCTATCCCTCCCCCCCCCAATCCAATTTATCTATTGTTATGTTTATGAATGTGAGCCATGGATATATCTACCCAGACAATTCATGTTCAACTGATGGGACAGTTTTAATCTGTATCTCAATATATAATCAAACATTTTGGTTAAATGTTTTAAACCTGCTGAGTTCAGAGCCTTGTTCTTTTAATTTTAGTATGTAGCCCAGGGGTAGGCAACCTTTCCCCTTTAAGGGCCGAGGGACTTCCGCTCCCAGAATCCCAGGAGCTATTGGCCAACATGGGACTATTGGCCAACATGGCTGAGGCTTCTGGGAGCAGAAGTCCCTCGACCCTTAAAGGGGAAAGGTTGCCTACCCCTGATGTAGCCCATCGTTTTAGGACTAGAGATACTGGAGAAGGAAATGAATTAAATGACAAATTTTAGCCAAATGTTTCTGATGGTAATCATTACTGTAGAAACACATCTATATTAATCTACACATTGCTTTGAGTGCAATAGGGAGGAAAATCAAATCAGGGATGCATACAAATCTGTTCCAGGTTACATTCTGTGTGTGAGAGAAAAAGAGAGAGAGAGAGTTTATTAAGGAGCTTATCACATTGCCAAAAAAGTCAGCTTACCTTTTCTGGCTTCAGTCTTCTTCTGGGATACACCCAGATGTTATCACATATAAGTCACCTCCAATTCTGCTGTGATGCTGCCAGCCAAATACAGCCTAGGTCAGACACGAGTCAAAGCCGCGTTTAACCAGCAAATTTTTGAAGTCAGAAACTTCCATTTTCAAAAAAGTGCCGGCTGAACACGGCTTCGACCCTTGTCTGACCCAGACTGTATTTGGCTGGTGGCATCATGGCAGAATCGCCAGCGACTTACATGTGATAACATCTGGGTGTATCCCGGAAAAAGACTGAATCCAGAAAAGGTACACCAGCTTTTTTAGCAATGCAATAAGCTCTTAAATCTCAGACAGTATTGACTGATAAATAAGAGATTAATTTGCTCAAATTCTTGAGGATCCCAAACTGCAATTTATCTGTAATTTTGGAATGCATACCTATCTGCACTGAGGAACAGATATACATGAGGAAAATCAGAATCTATCACAGAAGGTATATGGCAGAGAAAGGAACAGGCTCAAAGAAAAGCTTAGGAAGGACACTGGTAAAACATAAACAAATGGTCCAATATCTAATTCAGTGTCTTTTAGCACCTGTACAATTCTTGCCCCAATAACATTTATACTATTGTGTAAAAATAGAGGAATATCAGAAAATACTGCAGAGAGTCAGTATAGTGTAGTGGTTTGAGCACTGGGCAATGACTCTAAAGGACCAGCTTCAAATCCCCACTCAGCCGTGGAAACCCAGTGAGTGATCTTTGGGCTGATGCAGACGGCCCGTTTGGGGCCGAAGAGAGCAGCGGATCAGGGCCGCAGCAGTCCCATGCTGCAGCCCTGATTCTTCCTTTTGCCACCCCTAAGAGTGGCAAAATGCTGCTCCTTTTAGGGGCAGCAAAAGGCCACCCTAAGAGCTGGCACTGCGGCTCTTCCGCACCCTTTAGGCGCAGTGTGTCTGCTGTGCTGGAAGGGCATCCTGGTGCCACGCATTGTGCATTGTGCATATGGCCATGTGATGTCAGGACATCGGGGTGTGGTTGAGCCAGCCGGTGTGTGGCTGCCCCACCCCAACTCTACCCCCAGGCCAGCCCTTTGGGCCGATCTGCAACAGCCCTTTGTTAAGTTACATTTTCTCAATCTCAGAGGAAGGCAAAGGCAAACCCCCTCTGAACAAATCTGACCAAGAAAACTCCATGATAGGGTTACCTTAGGGTCACCAAAAGTCAGAAATGAGGCACACAAAATCAACATAAAATACACAAGAAAATGAATTATACTCCTTTAAAAATCTGAAACAAGCTGCACTAGTTTTATTCTTTGGAAGTAGTGGCACTTCGGGGCTGTCTAACTCTTAACTAAAAATTAACATCTGCCTTTGAGCAGCCTAGTTCTCTGACTCACTGCTTGTGTCAAAATTATTTTTCTATTTCCCAGTTCATTTCAGACTCTTTCAAAACATTCTAAAGGTTATGATAGAATCATAGTATCACAGAATCTTGGAGCTGGAAGAGGCCACAAGGGCAGTCTAGTTCAACCCCCTACATGCAAGAACATACAATTACAGCATTCTTGAAAGATGCACATCCAACTTCTATTTAAAATTTATTTAAAGAGAGAGAGAGTCCACCACCCTCCAAGGCAGTCTATTCCACTGTCAAACAAATCTTACAGAAAATAAATTCTTCCTAATGTTTACGAAGAATTACTTTTCTTCCCATTTGAATCATTTATTCCTGTTCTAGTCAGTTTCTGCTAGGAAGGAGAAGGAGAAGGAGAAGGAGAAGGAGAAGGAGAAGGAGAAGGAGAAGGAGAAGGAGAAGGAGGCTTTCCAGGTCAGTTTCTGCCAGGAAGGGAGAAGGAAAGCAGTTTCTGAGCAGCCATATTGAGTGGGTGAGTGTTTAAATTCTTTTGAAAAACACTTGGAGAGAGTGTGACTGTTGCTGAGCGGATGGGGCTTTGGTGAATCACATTTGTGAGTCAACAGGGGGTGGAGCTAG